AAATTGTTTTCATCTTACACCTCCTCTCTTTCATGCTTCTCTGCAAGCTCTTCCAAGATTATTTTAGGGAAGCTCTTAGAATCCTAGACTCTTCAAATGGAAGAATTTTAAAGAGCATCTGGTCTAACTCTGCAGATGACAGCTAAGGAGCACAGGCCCAGAGGGGCACTGAGTGACAACAGTCATCCTGGGAGCTGGAGGCAGAGCTTAGGTTTCATGTCCAGTGAGTTCTTTCCACCACCGACAGTATTTCTCTTGCCAGGTGATTAGATTGGGATGCAGTTTAGCATGGTTCTGAAAAGCCTGCTGTCTTACCTCTTCTAGCCTCAAATCCTTCTTTTCCAGTTCCTTTCTCTTCCCCTCCTTTCCCCCTCTCAAATTTTGAATCTCATCCAAGAGCCATAACAGGTGTTTGGCTTGCCTCTCAGCTCCTCCTGAGTCTTGGCTGGCAGGGTTCTGGGGGTGGAGCATGCCCTTGTGCACCCAGTTGACTGCCAGATCAGTTTCAAGGTCTCTCTGGTAACCTCCAAGGCCAGTTCTACTAAAAGGCTCCTCCCTCTCTGGAGCATCCAGTGATTGGCATGAGGAAAGTCTTCAAAAGTCTGCTCCATTCTCTCCAGGGAAAAGGGATATTTTATTGCAAACTTACCTTGAGCTCCCTAAGGGTTGTTTTCTTTTGTACTAAGCTTGACCAGTGTTAATATACAATGGAAGCTATTAAGATATGCCTATTTTTGACAATAATGCTAATAAAAACTCACTTGATTACCTGAAATTTTCCCAGACTAGCCCTTTTTAGCCTTAGTCATTTCACTGGAGAGGGCAGGACTGCTGTATGTAGTGCCAAGTTCAATACTTTTTACAGGCTCAATAAATATTTGTAATAAATATGTGTAATAGACCTCAGTTTGAGCTTAAATTATGTCCACTTTTGGAATTCACACAGGTGTGGGCATGTCCAGTATGGCAGCCATAGGGAGTACGCTACTCAGATCTCCCACAGAGAGAGCCTGCTGGGAGGAGTGTAGTTATCTGACAGCATCCATCTGCAGCACCTTTGGGATCTACTGTAGTGTTTACACTGAGGTCATGCTCTCCCGGCCCTTCTCCCCACCCTTCTCCCTACCAGTGACTGAGCTCAGTGGAGATACTGGAGCGAGGCCGTTCCCTGCCTGACAGGGCTTCTCTAATGGGCAATGTTTGCTCCGTACCTCCCCATCAGCCTGGCTGAGACTTTCTCAGAGCTGCATTGACATCTGAGGCTCCTCCTACCAACCTTTCTTCTTTCCCACTCTTTCATGGATATCAGACCTACATTGAGCACTGAGGCTCTCCTACCTACTTCTGCTCCCTTTCCACTTTATCCTTGACATGTATTTCCCCCAATAAATTTCTTGTACTTCTACTTTTATCATGGTGCCTGCTTCCCCAGTGACCCAAACAGGCATGTCTGTGACCTAGTAGGCCCAGCTCACCAAAAGTCTATTTTTCATAAAGGCGTTAGGTCTCTCCTGGGAGGGAGACCTAAGGAAAGTGAGGAGATAGGCAATTTGGATCCAGTAACAGAATCTTCAAAATGAAAGAGGAGCTAGTCAAAGTTCAACAGTATATTTATCATGCAGATTTGTTTCTTGGCCTTGCTGGTCCCTACTCCCACCCCCACCATTAGCTCATGCTTAGTAATTTGTGGAGAGGAATGGGCATTAGGGAGGAATCAGTAGAATATAGAAGAGCTGCTTTACTAAAAACTCTGTGAATCAAAAGGGCATTAATAATACCTATTAGAAGTCTATGTGACAAAGTATAGCACAATAGGGGGAGAGGGGCATTTTTCTCCCCTGTGCACAATTCATAAAATGGACCTCCTAGAAACTAAGAGAAGCATTTTTCAAGAAGCTGGGTTCCTTTTGAAACTATATAATAAATTTGAATCACAGACTATCAGAGCTGAAAGGAATTACAGAGATATCCAGTCTGCTGGTTTTCAAACCATGTTTCTCAGAGATTCTCAAGGGCCTGAGGTGAGGGGTGGGGGCTGAGTTGCAGGGCTCCAGTCCCTCTATCCCCACATCACCTGGAGCAGTTTCACTGTTCTTTGATGTAAAATCTTGGTTTCTTAAAGGCACAACTATAGAGACAATAAAGAGATCAGTGGTTGCTAGAGGTTCAGGGTAAGTGGGGGAGGGATGAACAGATGGAACACAGGGCATTTTAAGAGCAGTGAAACTATTTTGTGTGATACTGTAATGGTGGACACATGACATTATTCATTTGCCCAAATCCAGAGGACTGTACAACACAAAGAGTGAACCCTAATGTAAACTTTGGACTGTAGTTAGTAATAATGTGTCAATATTGGTCCATCAATTGTAACAAATGCACTACGTGAATGCAAGATGTTAATAATGGGAGAAACAATGTGCAGGGAGGAAGGGGCATATGGGAACTTTGTGCTTTCTACACAGTTTTTCTGTAAATGTAAAACTGCTAAAAAATAAAACCTATTAATTAAAAAAGTTAAAGAAAAGCAGCTGAAGATGATTTTAAAAAATTGACTTCTTTATAAGAGATAGTTTGTAGAAAGTATTTTTTTGCTCTTTTCTTCTTTTTTTCTTTAAGTTAGATGGAAAAATCTAGTCTGGAGACTTACCTTAGTCTACTATTGTGTTATCTAAGGCAAGTACCATGAAGGCCACACAAAATAAGTGGTATAGGGGTACAAGGTGAGAGAGAGAGCATAGCCACCTGGGGATGTCAGCTGTCTACCCAGGAACTAGAACGAGGAAGTTTGGTGATAAACTATAGAGACTGGAATCTCTTTTCTTCCTTCAGCAAGAATTCCCTGGGAAGTCAGGCATCTGTTGTCTCTAATTCACTGTAAAATACTTTAGCCTAAACAGTGTGATTTATAATGTGTTAGTTTTATTCTACACCTTGGGGGTGGTTAACTACAATTTGAAGTATCCTAATCAGGATATGGTTGGTTATCTTTAAAACAACCTTATCACAAATTCACACTCCAGAATTGCTAGCATTGTCTCTTTATTACCTTAAGCTGCAAGAGAGCATTTGATAATTAGCATAGGTGGTGTTAGAAACTTTTTTTTTTCATTAGTAAAGATATATGAATGGGTAAGAAATAGTTCCCAGGCATCTCTACCCTTTTGTGAACCCAGCAGCCCATATTCTCTAGTGGGGTTATTGGCCTAGGGCTTGCTTTCAGTCCTGCCACCTGATCTAACTGGAAGTTTAGCTGAATTCTTTACAGGAGTATTGTCACATCTGCCTCAGATGAGCCTTTAATGAAAGACACTTTTTAGATTATCTTAAGGACATAAAGCTGGGTCGTCACCAAACTTATCAGACCAGGTTATGGTACTCTTTTTACACCTAATGCACTTTTATGTGTGGCAGATTCCATCTGAGAGTTTCTTTCACAGTAACATCACCCGGAGCTAGATTGTGGAGAGACACCTTTAACCACCGACCCCTGTTTGTGGAGAAGAACTATAGCTACCAAGTAGAACCTAACAACTCTAAATTTAGCTTAGGTTAGTTTGCAACATCAGATCAGGCCTAGAGGGAATACTGGCCCCTAATAAATCACTGTGTCCTTATTCCTTTATTCCACTCTACTGTTCTACAGTTTTACTCAGATTAAAAGATACTATAGAGATAGAAAAGGGTGCGGTATATATGAGAAAATTGTTGTGAAGTGCTTATATGTTACAGAAATACTCAGATGTGCACAAAGATAAAAGATGTTCAGTGCAATTCATCAATTCACAAAAGTTTATTAAATACCTACAGTTGAGAGCAAAACAGGCCCTCATGGAATTTACTGTCTAGTGGATAAACCTATATTAAAAAACAAATATGTAGACCGACTAATTTATAACAATAAACTGTGATACATATTATGAAGGAAAAGAACAGGTGTTATAAGAAAGAATAATGAGAGGTAATTTGGATTGGATTGAAAAGTCAGGAAGACATTCCTGAAGAAGAGACATTTAATCTGGGACATGAAGGCAAGGTAGATAGTGCAGATCTACACTCCCTTATCTGAATTACTTGATGTGTTTTTTGATTCAGAATTTTTTTTTTTTTAATTTTAGAAGAAAAACACAGAACATATGTCATGTATTACAAAACACAGCAAAGTCTAGGGTAACACCTCATAACTGAATTCATTAATATCTCTGTTATAAAATGTATGAATAGTCTCCCTAAGTAGGGTAAATAATGACCAGAAATAGATTTATGCTAATTTGGGTCAGGTTTTGCCATCACATGAATTGAGGTCAAGTCAGATTAGGCTACCACATGAGTTACTTTTCAGAGTGAAATTGTGCATAACGGATTGTGGATTTTCCGTGTTATGGTTAATGAAACTGAGGTTCAGAGTGGATAAGATCACATAGCTAGTCATGGAACTGGGGTTAGAGTCCTGGTCACATTAGCTCTTTGTATCTATCAAATTAATGAGAAACAAAATAATGAAATAAGTACTACTGGTGAAATATATAAGGTATGGTAGTTCAAAAAAAGGGAGAGACTAATTTTTTTTCTTTTTTTTTATTGTGGTTTAGATGAAGGTTTACAAAGCAAATTAGTTTCTCATTAAACAATTAATACACATATTGTTTTGTGACAGTGGTTGCCAACACCACGACATTGTCAACACTCTCCCCCTGTTGACCTTGGGTTCTATTGTCTTGGCTCCTCCTGCCTACTTGTCCTTGCCCCTGGGTTGGTGTGCCCCTTTAGTCTTGTTTTGTTTTATGGGCCTGTCTAATCTTTTGTTGAAGGGTGAACCTCAGGAGTGACTTCAGTACTGAGTTAAAAGGGTTTCCAAGGGCCATACTCTCACAGTTTCTCCAGTCTCTGCCACACCAGTACGTCTGGTCTTTTTTTCTGAGTTAGAATTTTGTTCTACATTTTTCTCCAGCTCTGTCCAGGACCCTCTATTGTGATCCCTGTCAGAGCAGTTGGTGGTGATAGCTGGGCACCATCTAGTTGTGCCGGAGTCAGTCTGGTGGAGGCTGTGGTAGTTGTGGTCCATTAGTCCTTTGGACTAATCTTTCCCTCGTATCTTTGGTTTTCCTCATTCTAAGGGAGAGACTAATTGGATGCAGGAGGATATTCAATAAAAGTAAGAAGATGAGCTGATAAATTAATCAATCTAAGTCTAATGTATAATAAGTAAAGGAGCCAAGTCAAGAACCCTGATTGCAGGTTTCTTGTATGCCTTTATATGAGACTTTAGCTGCTGCTTCTGAAATGTGGTGACTGTGAGTAAATTACCCAGAATGGAAAGAATTTTGGGGTCATGGTGTATGTGTTGTCTCTTTATTCTAACACTAGGAGAGGGGCATATTGGATCTGCCTTTTGGATGCAACTGGGTGACTAAATGGTTGTGTTTTCCTGGGGTTTGGTTTTCATTATTTTTATATCCTTAGGCTTCCAAGTCGGCCGGAACAGAGATGCTCACAGAAAGTCCTAATGAAATGATATGTTTGCTTCTGATTTCAGATAAGAACAACCACACCCCTACAGATCAAAACTATGGAAACATCCACTGCCCTGCAGCAGTTTATAGATCAGCATTTCTGAGGTAGTTCTAAGAGATACTGAATATATTCCTGAAAAAGGATTCCATGTCAGATACTTTTGGAGAATCTTTTATATTGTTTTCCTGTCATGGAAATTCATGTTGCACAGAGAAAAGTCTCTGAAGAGCTCTGCAAAAGATGTCTATTTATCCTTAATCCAGTATTTTACAAACTTGCCTGTTGATGGAAATTTTTATTCATGGAATGTCTATTATCATCATACAGAACACACTTGGGAAATACTGGGGTAAACACTACTAGCTGGGAAAGAAGAAGATCTGAGTTGTCATCCTGGCTCTGCCACTAACTTGTATTTTTTAGTCTTCTTTGGACTTAATTTCCTCAACTGCAAAAGGAGAGGGTTAGAAGCAATGATCTAGAGAGAAAAAAGAACCACCACCTACTCTGTGCCAGGCCCTGGACATATATCATCAGGGCCCTGTGCTTAGAAGGGCCCCGTGTATGGTTTAATGTCCTGCTGTTGCAGTGTTGCAATTCTTAATACTTTTTAATAAAGGCTCACATTTTCATCTTGCATTGGGCCGCCAGATTATGTAGCCAGTCCTGTGTACTGTTATCTCTAATCTTCACATCAGTCTGTTGAGACTATGTCTGTATTAGTATTCACAATATACAGATATAGAAACTAAGGATCAGAGAGGTTAAATAAATTGTTTAAGGTCATACATGGAGTGAATAGCAGAGTCAGGATTCCAGTCTAGTCCATCTGACTTTAAAGCTTTTACAATTTCCACTAGACCAGCTGCCAGTGCAAACACTCTATGATTCTAAGAGTCTTTTGTTCTTCAGACTACTACTAGATCTATGTCATTGTTCTAGTAACAGAATAATAGTATTAATCCCATACTGGCTAAATGAATTAGTGAGTGATCGACTAGATGTCAGTGGAAGAATGGCCAGATGATAGGGAATGAATGGCTATAGAAGTTAGACAGACACGGACTCCAGCAAACTTGGTTTTGTCATTCACTAGCCATGTGACCTTAGGCAATCCATTTGACTTCTCTGAGTCTCAGTTTACCTCATAGATATGTTGTGAAGATTAAATGACTTAATTGTTGTTAGGTGCTGCCAAGTCATTTTCAACTCATAGTAATCCCATGTGACAGAGTAGAACTGCCCCATAGGGTTTTCTTGGCTGTTATCTTTACTGAAGCAGATCACCAGGTCTTTCTCCCATGGAGCAGCTGGGTAGGTTCAAACTACCAGCCTTTCGGTTAGCAGTTGAGTGCCTAACTGTTTGCACCACCAGGGCTCCTTAAATGATATAATGCATTGCCTAAAACATGGAAATCCCTCAATAGATTTCTGCCTGGCTTTTATTAACCTGGTCAGGCTAGATTTGCTATTGTGATATCACAGCTCCAACTATTGTAACCTGTTTGGTTTATTTAATAACAAGTGCAAGAACATTAGATTTCTTTAATTTTTTCTAAATCAGATTAAATTAAGTTTAGCTTCATCCCTACCTGCGAGGTTGGTGGGATATACAATTTCAGAGCTCTTTTGGGGATGTAAAAACCCCAGGGTTTATACAATCTAGAAAACTAGAGGAACAGTCTTCAGTCCATTGTAGTTGTTCTTAGTGGTGGAGATGCTCATTGTCCAAGCAGGTGGGACCAGTCAGAGGGTTCCCAAGGGATTCTGAAGATCAGAAATGTGGAATTTGAAATATTTGTGACAATTCTTACTGTTGTTGTTGTTAGGTGCCGTTGAGTCAATCTTGAATCATTGTGACCCTGTGTACAACAGAACGAAACACTGCGTGGTCCTGCACCATTCTCACAGTCATTGCTATGCTTGAGCCCATTGTTGCAGCCACTGTGTCAGTCCATTTCATTGAGAGTCTTCCTCTTTTTCGCTGACCCTCTGCTTCACCAAGCATGATGTCTTTCTCCAGGGACTGGGTCCCTCCTGATAACATGTCCAAAGTAAGTGAGACGAAGTCTTGCCATTCTTGCTTCTCACTAGGAATTCTCAGTTCTCCCTAGAAAGAATCCTAATCCTTCCATTTTAAACCTGGCCACTAAGGACTCCTCCATGTCTCCCAAAGTTGCATCTTGGTGTTCATTCCCCAAGTGTCTGTGAAGTCATCACCATCAGAGATACTGTCCCTTCCTGGGCACTGTAGAATCCGACTCCACTCACCTTAAATCCTCAGAGCTTTCCCTTTCCCAAGCAACCCAGCTCTGTCCCTTCAAGAATTTATATGTTGGAAGCAAGAGACTTCTAAACTTTTCTCCCCTGGATAAGGGAAGGCCTCAAACCTACAAGGACTGACTGTTCTTCCGGAAAGGGTAAAGAGGAAAAAAATTTTTTAAATCTTTTTATTGTTAGTCCCCAGCAAAATAATAATAATAATTGTACAATGTTCTCAAATTTTTCATCTTCCATGAAGGCTCCCATGACCCCTTTCTCCCTTAGCCATAATATTTCATATCTAAGCCTATATGTCTTGTCTTTACTGCAAACTGGAGCAGCAGAGAGAGGTGGTGAAAAGGACAGAACTAGATAGATATGTTGCTGATTATTTCCATTCCTGCTGATAATTGTCACAACCGTTTTGAATTCCACATTTCTGATCTTCAGAACTCCTTGGGAACAATGGGAGTAGAAAGTGGAAAAGACACAGGCTTCGGAAGCGTTGATTTACGGGAATGAGTTTATGTGTAATAGCACAGAGGGCCTGGTGCCAGGGTATTGGAACAGCTAGGACACTGGTATCCATGGAATAGGTTAAAAAAAGGAAACAATGGGACCAAATATTTTTTTCTTCCTAGTCTAGACATTTATGCTGGTTGTCTGCCAGGTCAAGGGCAAAATTCTGTGCTCTGAAAGCAACAGAGCTGTAGAGCTGTAGTGCTTGGCCCTCTAGTGGCTAGTTGTTTTTATTCAATGACATAACCGGCCATTTTCTACACTGACAGTCTCTATCACTGCCTTATCTTCTTTTTTGGTTTTGCCAGAATGACTAACTGCTTCTACCTATATCCTGTCTTCCCTTCGTATATCATTACTGACGTCAATTTTGAAAAAGGCTCAGTGCTAGTTAGGGCACAGTTCTTGAGGGAAAGACTTTGAGGTGGAGAGTTGCATGCAGAAGGTTTTTGGGGGAGTGCTCCTGGAAGATACATCTGGAAGGAAGTGAGGAAACAGAAGTGGACAGAGGGAAGCTGACTTACAACATGGTTGCAGCTGAGGCCTTAGCTGATCCTACTGGGAGCTGTAGAGCTGGGATGGTCCCTCAGAGTTGTCCCAAATTGAGGTGATAGAGCCACACCGTCAAATCCCTGCATCTGTCAGTTGTTGACTGTGAGCCACCCCTTAGGTGAGGCGGGTTCCTGTGGCCTAGGGCAATGCCTAGTGAGGAATGCAGCTATGAGCTGTCAGCAACGGACGTTCTCAGCAGCTGGGTGATGGGTGTGTTGATTCTGAGAAGAGAATCTGGACAGAGCACCACCTGACAGCTGGCAATCCACATTCACGAGCCCCCAGAGCACTTTGCTTGTACCTCTCCTTTGGCAGTTGCCCCTTGATTCAGGGGAATAAAGTCCAGAAATGTAAGTCAGGAGACAGACATTCTAGTACAGGCTTGTGGGACTTTTAAGTACATCACCTAAATTATCCTGGCCTCAGGGCTAGCATGAAAGCTCAATAACCATCCTTCACCACTTATGTTTTACTAAGTGCTCTCACATCCACTTTTAATTGAACCCACTGGACCAAAGTCTAAACCAAATAAGATAATGGAGAGGAAAGTACTTTGAAAGGTAGGAAGCACCATACACATGTGAGAGATTATGTAACAATACTCATGAAAATGTTCATTCATTCTACTAATATTTATTGAGCATCCACTTTGTGGGAAGCCTTATCCCTAGTTGATGGGGGTGGAGAGATGCATTAGACACAGTCTCTGCCTGCACTTGGCATTGTTTCTGGAGAGGAAAATAGACAGGCTAAGAGATTACAATGTAATTTAAAAAAATATCATAAAAATTAAAATTATGGCAGAAAGAGAGCATAGATGAATAAAAGAGGCCTCAGCCTACACAGAGCGTTCAAAGTACTGCTTCATAGAAATGGATGGTTTCTATAGGTAGAAAAACTTAAGTGAGTGAGTTAATCCCTTGCCCCATAAGGGCAGGGACTGTGCCTGTTTGGTTTGCTGCTGTATTCTTAGTGCCAAGTACATTGCCTGACATCTAGGTACTTAATATCTGTTGAGTGAAAGGTTAAATAAGTGAATGACAATCCAAGAACAGAACTGTCAGTGTGTAACTCTTCCACAGAGCTCCTTTTGAGATATAGGTGAATAATCCCATCCTCTCCCCAACTGAATGAGATGTGTCAATGATGCACATTAGATACTTTCTTGAGACTAAACCCTCCTAATCTTCCAGCAGATTCTGTGGCCTGCCTCTCTGTGTCCCTTCAGGGATCAAGTAAAGCAGTCAGAATCTTGTCCTTGCCCAGCTCCCTCTACCCCCAACCAAGACGCCTCAAAGAGAAGACAGGGCAGTGTCCCAAAATTTATGAGAATAATACACCAATTGGTACACCTTTTGGGTGAGAGTCCCTGAGTCCCAGCACTAACTCTCAAAGGAACCAGCTATAGTGGGGAAACCATAGACTATGAAATCAGATAAGTCTATGTTAAAATCTTGACAGCTCCATGTATTAATTAATATTAAACAAGCTATTTTATCTGTAAGCTTCTGTTTTCCATCTATAAAATGAGGATAAAAATAATTACCTCAAGAGCTTTTGTGAAATAACATGTAAACTGTCCAGAACAGTGCCTGACAGAGACTGTGGTTGCTCATCAAATATTAGTTTTTCTTCCCTTTTTCTTTCCTGTTCACTAATTTCTGACTCTCTTGCTCCCAGGAGCTCACTGTTTTTCAGAGTGAAACCATTGCCACAGATGGGTTCTCTGATTTTATCCAGGCAGATCATGTTCTTGGTTTCCTTTTTCCTGTAGGAGGTTGGCTAAAAGCCTTGCTTTGTCTATTTCCCCTATGCTTAAACCAATATCTTAGATATTACCATTCCAGTGAGAGGAGAGGCCAGACTCACCAGTTAAAAAAGGTCAAAGCCACACTCCTAAGACAGGCTTAGTTATACCAACAAGGCTTCTGCCCCCACCCCCCCATCCCCCCAAAAGAAACACCCAACCATGATCTAATCATGGTAACAGTACTTTCTCCTTGGCGTGCTTGTAAATGTTTTGATCTTAGTTATCTAGCACTGCTATAACAGAAATACCACGAGTGAGTGGCTTTAACAAACAGAAATTTATTTTCTCACAGTTCAGTAGGCCAGAACTCCAAATTCAGGGCGCTGGCTCTAGGGGAAGGCTTTCTGTCTCTGTCGGATATGGGAGATGGTGCATGTCTCTTTTCAGCATCTACAGGCCCAGCATTTCCTTGACTCCTTAGTGATCTTCATGGGCATGGCATCTGTCTTTCCCTAACTGTACTTCTTTGCTTCCTTGCTTAATCTGCTCCTTTTATATCTCAAAAGAGATTGGCTCAAGATATACCCTACACTGATACTGTTTAATTAACATAACAAAGAAAACCCTATTCCCAAATGGGAAGAGTGAGGAGGATGGGATGAAGACCACTAGCTGTCTACCAAAATCCATTCTCTCCTTCTTCTTAGTAGTAGAGGTTTGGTTGGGGCATGACTGCCCAGATAGGAACTGAATATGCCAGGTCCCCTGGCAGCCAGCTGGTGGCATGTTGACTAAGCACTGGGCAGTGGATGTGAGCAGAAGACATATGTGCAGCTTTTGCCTCACTTGCTTAAGAATTAATCTCTGGTTCTGGGCTTCTGTTCTTTCTCCCTCTTCATTATCTAGAAATGCTTCACCCAGAATGACCTTGGAAGCTACATGCTGAAGATGGCAGTCATCTTATTAGGTCCCTGAATGACTGAGTAGAGCAGAGCTATCCACCTACCAAGAACACTGGCCTCGTACCATACTACATTGGATCTCCTGATCACATCCTACCAGATCTTCATTAAAAAAAAACAAATCAAACCCATTGCCTTCGAGTTGATTCCAACTCATAGCGACCCTATAGGACAGAGTAGAACTCCCCCATAGGGTTTCCAAGGAGCGCCTGGTGGATTAGAACTGCTGACCTTTTGGTTAGCAGCCATAGCTCTTAACAACTACACCACTAGGGTTTCCCCAGATCTTCATATCCTACCTCAAATCCCACTTCTTCCAAGAAGCATTCATGAATAGTTCTCTCTCCTCCTCTTACCTATCACATTTAATGTCTGTTCATCACATTTTCTGGTACTTAACTACAGGTAGTCCTTTACTTATGACGTATTCAGGTTATGATGAACCACACTTACTTACAACCATCTGTCTTTTTTTTTGTACATCTTATATTAGTAGTACGTACTACATACAGTGTTGCAGCATATAATTTGCTGATGTTATCATTCTCAGATGTTCACTCGCAGATGTTCAAAGATCAGATTTATAAAGATACTGATAATAAAAAGCAATAATAATGAAAACAAAACAAAAAAAAGAGGTATTCAACTTACATCAGAACTGACTTTTTATGGCATCAGAATGGAACCCAGTTGTAAGTTGTATATTATTTCCTACTTAGTTCTTTTTAGTGTTATATGTTGTTTTTGTTCTTTATTTGGTGTGTACTTCTTGTCTCTTAAACTAGACGGACCTCCCAAGATGTGACACCCTGACTCTGCTCCTCTTTCACCAAGCAGAGCTGTAGTGGGTACTGATGGTGCCCCACACGGGTCCCCTTCACCAAGTCGCACACCCAGCTGCTATTAGTGTTGCTTGCTGTCGGCTTAGAACTGCCCCCTTCTCCAGATATTTGGCCTCAGCCAGATGTGAGCACACCCAGGAGTTATGTGCCCCATTCAGTAGCCAGCCACCAATGACTGACTGACACGAGGTACAAAAGGATGGCTACAAAATGTGGAACCACTTCTGTGATGAAAATTGAGCTGCAGTAGTAGCTTTACCCATAATTGTCAAAACTTGGAAGCAACCAAGATGTCCTTTAATAGGTAAATGGCTAAACAAACTATGGTACTTCTATACAATAGAGTATTATTCAGCAATAAAATGAAATGAGCTATCAAGTCACAAAAATGTATATTTTTATGACTATCAAGTCATAAAAAATGGAGGTGGGGCCAAGATGGGGGAGTAGTCAGATGCTTCCTGTGGTCTCTCTTACAACAAAGACTTGAAAAAAATAAGTGAATTGATTATATATGACAATCTAGGAGCCCTGAACATCAAAGACAAAGTTCAGGAGTTGGACTGAGGAGCAGGGGGAGGGAGAGACAGTTCAGAAGGAACGAAGATTTGCCAGACTTGACCTAGCCGGCACCCTGCAGGCTGGATTGGCCAACGTGCGCGATCTGAGGCAAGCAGTAGCGCTCAGGATGCGTTTTCCACACCAGGAGAAACTGAGCAGCAGAGAGTGTGCAAGCCTCTGGAACCAGGGAGAAGCAACGCTGAGTGTTTGAAAGTTAAGTACAAGCGTCTAACCTACCATGTGGGATCAAAAAAACCCTTTCCCCCTCTGGGAAGTACCTCTCTCCCATTTACCTGCCCCCTCCCTGCTCTGCTCTGGTCTGGGGCTGGAAGTGGGACCCTCATGCACCCCGAGCCATTCTCCCAGCTTTGGAGAGGGAACAAATTAACAAACAGGAAAAAATAACCTGCCAGCTCCCCTAAGCCAAGAATTCAGGGCAGGCACAGCCCCTTTGCCTAGGCACAGGCATAAGGGGTCCACGAACTCTGAATGCCTTTCACACCTGCCTAGACCTGTGTGGGCCCATTTCAACAGCATAGGCCCTCATTAGCACAGTACAACAGGGTATATACCTGAAGCCTGTTTTCAACTGCAACAGCTAAGGGGGAATGGTAGATTCATGATAGTTGACATTGCCCTGCCCATTAAGCAGGGTCCTCACCTACCCACATCAGGGACCTGAGGACTGGTGGCTCCACCCACTCCACCTAGGCCCCCGTGACAGGGGTCCAAGAATAAGTGGTGCCTCCCAGTCCTTAGAGCCAACAGCATTGGGTGCCCAAAGTCCAGCTGCAAAACCCACCCACCTACGTGCTTTAGGGAACAGGAACATGCCTTCCACCCAGGCACCCTACCAGTACATAACCCCTTACTGCAGCAAGATACCTGTGCCTACTCCAATCACCCCTACATAGCCCTGCCCGTCTAGGACTGTAAGTGAGAGCCTGTACCACACACTCAGTGACCAACGACCTGGACACCTGAGCTGAATCCACACAATAAAAGTAAATGGACTCCTGGGCTCACACACCTAGTACCAGCTCTAACCACCTGGTGACAGCATGTGAAAGCTTCAAAATGCCAGTAATCAAAGTAGCTCACACAACCAGCCTATTTGGGCATATCTAAACAAAACAAAGCAAGAAACTAGGACACAGTAAGCAAGCATAAATAAATATAATCGCTTATTGATGGCTCGGAGACAACAGTCAATATCAAATCACATGAAGAGGCAGACCATGATAGCTTCAGCAAGCAACCAAAACAAAGAACCAAGAAACCTCCCAGAGGAAGATAAGGTCTTGGAATTACTGGAGGTAGAATTCAGAACATTAATATGCAGACATCTTCAAGAGATCAGGCAAAACACAGACCAAGCCAAGGAACACACAGATGAAACAACAGAGGAACTTAAGGTTATACAAGAGCATAACGACAAATTTAACAGGCTGCAAGAATCCATAGAGACAGCAGACAGAAATCCAAAAGATTAACAATAAAACTTCAGAATGAGACAACTCAGTAGAAGGTCATAGCAGCAGAATTGAGGCAATGGAAGTCAGAATTAGTGAGAATGAAGATAAAGCACTTGACACCAATTTATTTGAGAAAAAATCAGATAAAAGAATTTTAAAAAATGAAGACACTTGAAGAATTGTGTGAGACGACTATCAAGAGAAATAACCTACAAGTCACTGGAGTACCAGAAAGGGGTGGGGATAACAGAAAATACAGAGAGAATTGTTGAAGATTTGTTAGCAGAAAACTTCCCTGATATCGTGAAAGATGAGAAGATATCTATCCAAGAATCTCATTGAACCCCACACAAGGTAGGTCCCAAAAGAAAGTCACCAAGACATATTATAATCAAACTTGCCAAAAACAAAAAGAATTTAAGAGCGGCTAGGGATAAACGAAAAGTCATCTACAAAGGAGAGTCAATAAGACTAAGCTCAGACTACTCAGCAAAAGCCATGCAGGCAAGAAGGCAGTGGGATGACATATATAAAGCCTTGAAGGAAAAAAATTGCTAGCCAAGAATTATATATCCAGCGAAACTGTCTCTCAAATATGATGGCAAAATTAGAGCATTTCCAGATAAACAGAAGTTAAGGGAATTTGCAAAAACCAAATCAAAATTACAAGAAATACTAAAGGGAGTCCTCTGGGTAGAAAATCAATAACATCAGATAACAACCCAAGACTAGAACACAGAACAGAGCAACCAGGTATCAACCCAGATAGGGAAGTCACAAAAATAAATCAAAGCTAAAACACTGAAAATAGGGGAACAGAGACATCAATATGTAAAAGATGACAACATTAAAACAAAAAAGAGGGACTAAATAACGTAGTCATAGAACTTTCATATGGAGAGGAAGTCAAGGCGATATCAAGAAATAAAAGACTGGTTTACCTGAGAATTATGTGGGATACAATCAAAAGCAAAAATTTTCAAGTGATCAGAGTTCCAGAACGGGGAGAAAACAGAAAACACAGAGAGGATCATTGAAGAATTGCTGACAGAAAACTTCCCTAATATCATGAAGGGTGAAAAGCTGACCATCCAAGAAGTTCAACGAACCCCAAATAGGATAGACCCCAAAAGAAAATCACCAAGGCATATCATAATCACACTCGCTAAAACCAAAGACAAAAAGAGAATCCTGAGAGCAGCTCGAGAAAAACGAAAAATCACATAAAGGGGGAAACAATAAGACTAAGCTCTGATCACTCGGCAGAAACCATGCAGGCAAGAAGGCAAAGGGATGACATATATAAAACCTTGAAAGAAAAAATTTTTCAAACAAGAATAATATATCCTGCAAAACTCTCATTCATATATGATGGTGAAATTAGGACATTTCCAGATAAACTGAAATTAAGGGAATATGTAAAAACCAAACCAAACTTAGAAGAATTATTAGAGGGAGTCCTTCGGTTTGAGAACAAACCACACCAGACGACAGCCTGAAACTAGGACACAAGCTAGCACCAGCCAGATACCAACCTAGGAAATGAACTCTCAAGGACTATTCAAAACCAAAAGATTTACAACAGGGAACCAGAGAGGTTAATCTATAAATGACAACAACATCAGAACAATAAAAGAGGGACTAAACGGTGTAGGTATCTTAGTCATCTAGTGCTGCTACAACAGAAATACCACAAGTGGATGGTTTTAATGAAGAGAAGTTTCTTTCCTCATAGTCAAAGTAGGCTAAAAGTCCAAATTCAGGGTGTCATTTCCAGGGGAAGGCTTTTTCTTCTCTGTTGGCCCTCTTCTCTTCAGTGTTCCCTGGACTAGGAGCTTCTCTGCACAGGGAACCCAGTCCAAAGGACGTGCTCTGCTCCCGGCACTGCTTTCTTGATGGTATGAGGTCCCCCTGTCTCTCTGCTCACTTCTGCCTTTTATATTTCAAGAGATTGCCTCAGGACACAATCCAGTCTTCTAGATCCACTCCTGCCTTACTAACACAACTGCCAACCATCCTCCCTCATTAACATCATAGAGGCAGGTTTACAACATACAGGAAAATCACACAGTACCAGGAATCATGGCCTAGCCAAATTGATACACACATTTTTGGGGGGACATAATTCAAACCATGACAGTAGGTATAGAACTTTCTAATGGAGAGGAAGTCAAGGCAATACCACGTAATAATAGACTGATTCAAACTTAGGAAGGTACGGGTAAATTTTAAGGTAACCACAAACAAAG